GCTACTTAATAATGCCAAAAGCCTTCATTTGGATGAAAGAGTAATGATTGATGAGAAGTGTTCACATATGAGGGTTAGACTATTAATGCACACGAAAAACTTGGGTATAGCTTCATATTAAATGGATAAAAGTTTATTAATTCAAAAATATAAGTGTTTTGCCAGCACTTATAGAATTAAGCTTTTGAGCTTAAAATAGGCTTGACCATCACTACATGTGGTACATTTTGATTTTCCTTGATTTGCAGCTTGACCATCACTACATGTGGTACATTTTGATTTTTCCTTGATTTGCACTCTCTAGCAGAGAAAGTGCTTATAAAAGACTATGTAAGAGACAAAAATTGCAGGAAATAATTGCATTGAAGTACACAAATTGAAAAAAAAAAATTAATGAATACGTGTGAAAAACAAAAAAAAAACGTGTAATACCAACCTAACATTGGATACACATCAAAATAGTGAAAATCATTAAATAATAGAAAGAAAATATAAGAAATATATACCAAACAATAAATCTTTGGACCATTGACGTTGAACCCTAAGAATATCAAGCAACTAGATCCTAATAATAACAAATCTAGGAAACCAAAACAAATGCTACAAGAGTTATTCATTAAATTCATCAAAGTTTGCACATGAAACACATATAATTAAAAACTAAAACCTTAATAAAAAACAAAACTATCCCTATCCCTAATATTTTTCAATATTGTAATGCACAATCATGATGGTGGATTCTCTTCCTACATCTAGGGCTCGAGATTCTTCGACGGTGTTACTTCAAGATGAGTACTTAGCACTCCTCTAGCTTCCATTGGTGGCTCCTTTCTTAATATGTGACTATTTCCATGTCATTTGAGTTCAGTATAGCCTTTCATCTCCCCTAACACCAACAATCTTGGGCGGCAGCATCAAAGTATCGATTATGGGCCTTACAACTTCTCCTCCACCTCCTCAATTATCAAAGTTTGGATCACTTTTTGTTCACACCATTTTGAACTCTTGATATGCCTCTTTTTGGGTTTCCTAGGAGGTTCGGTGCAGCTACCGATTCATGCTTGAATCTGATGGCTGGCAGTTCAAACTTTGTAAATAGATCCTAATTCCTACGAGAAATACTAGACCTCACGAAAAATTGAGGTCAACAACCACATAGCTCAAAAATTATCATCAATATTCCAAAGTAAAAATGTCCGCTTCTTTAGTGTTAATAAATTGCGTCTCGATCTTTCCCTCTACATTTTGTCTCATTAGTAATTGGTTGCAATGATGGCATTTTATGAAGGTGATGAAATGTTACTTTAAGGGATATTTGGTTCGATGTATTATGGGTATAAAGTAAAAATAATATATATGGTTTAGTATTTTTTTCTTTTTTAGAATGAAGTAAAACAAGCGTACGCTGCACCAAAATTTTTTGAGGAACTTTCAAGTTGCTCATATCATGTGATGTTCAAATGCATTAGCCACGGCCTACATCATCCCCAAATCCATAACATTCAACCTCTACCAACAGACACTCCCTGACGACCCAACAATCTATATTGTCCCCGGATCCATGACCTCAAACCCCACAAGCAACCGTAACTCTGCATCAACAAAATCAACCCTACATCAACGAACCTCTACCTAACAAACTCATGCCAAGATTTGAAGTCCCACACCCCTGAATCCATAAACCTGAACCACCATTAGCAACCCCATGCCCATGACCCCAACTTAGCAACCCCGCACCATGCATCCTTATGCCCTAACCGTGATCCTGAATAAGATCCCTCCAAGATCTAACACCACTATCTTCAGATCAACATTAACATTCAATTGTTATTGTTGGTGCCATCCTTGGCCACTATCCCTATCATGCCCTAGACAAAAACGGAAGCAGGGCATTTCATTTTTCATTTACCCAAACACAAAAAAAATTGATTTCATGAATTTATTGTACAACAAAGCAAACGACATTAACAAATCCAAGAAATCAAAAATGCAATGTAATTAATGTATACTGCATTTAGAATATGCAGGATTTCTAAGAAGCCACGACCAAAGTAGTCCTTGAAAGATTTGTTTTCATGGGATTCTAAAACACAAGTTTTTTGGATTCTAGACAAAGATTTATTACATTGAAACAAAAAAAGACTACGCTCTAGTTTTTTCTCATAGATTTGATCATATCACTGGCTATTTGTTATAGCTTTTTAAGCGAACATCATGTTGTACTTCAAAAGAAGAATCAATTGTTACCTCAATAAAGATTGCATTTCAAAGAATCTTTTTTGCATTTCAAGAACTAGAGCACATTATTTTTACAAGCTTCAATATTTGGTTGACCTCTTAAATTGAATGCACCCACCACCTCTCTATACAAACTCTCAGTAACTAGAGTTCTGGTGAAGACGAATGAAACTATAAATTCTGAAAAGAAAATATAGCTTGTATAAAAGAATTTTGTCTACTCTCAAAAAGTCAATTTTGAGAATCTATCTTCCTTCTTCTTCATTGTAAAATATGTGGTCATCCTATTTTTTAATGGTTAGTCATACGACTTGATTTAAAACAAAGAAACTAAGATAAAGATAATTGTGGTGAGGGAGATATTGAGGGTTGGAGGTGAACGCTAGAAATGCCTCCTTGCACCAACTAATCCTACAAGTATGATATTGATGAGTTAGTGATAGATAATGAGAACAATACTTTTTACTTGATACTTGCCAATGAATTCCACTATCGGACTCTAATTTCTCCAAACAATTCAACTACTGCTCAACTTCTATAAATGATCTTCACAAGGTGCCTCACAAAATCAGTGAAGATGTATATGCTTCTCCTTGTCGCAAGCCTGTAACAACCGAAATTTGTTTCCTTTTAAACCCGCTATCATGTGACTTATTTCCTTTCCTTCTTGGTCATTGCCTTCCCGAATTGCAACTTTCCTTTTGTTCCTCGGCCTCCTGCCGCCTTTCTGTTCTAAATAAGAATGGGTCGAGGCATTGCAACATTGTCGAAGCCCTGGCTCTCTCTCGCCTCTCGATCCAGGCATTGCAACATTGTCGAAGCCCTGGCTCTCTCTTGCCTCTCGATCCCCTCCTCCCTCTCTCTCGATTTTGCCCAAAAACATCAACCTTGTGACTGAACCTTTGCGACACAATAGCGTTTAGAGCTAGCAGAGAAGGCAACGGCGGTACTTATCAGTTTTTCCATGTTAGTCTTTCAGTTTTGATTCAGCTAGTTTCCTATTTTCATTTCAGTTGTATCAGTGGACTACTCATTATGAATAAAATTTACATTTCCCTTTTTATTTGTATGTAAGTCTTGTTTTGAGAATTAAAAATAGATTCAATTCATTTCATTATGCCCTGAGTTGTCGGGATGTATCGTTTTTTGGACCTGGGGTGTGACAAAGCCATCCCCAAAACTGAGCACTAGTAGCTATCATTATGCCATCTACGAGAAACGATGTGATGACTAAGCTTCTTGATCAACCAAGGAGGGATAAAAAAAAATTTTTTAAATGAAAAAAAGTGAAGGATGGATAGATTTGATGGCATTTTTCCCTCGTCAGTGGAGGCTAGTCACACCCCTTATGATGCAAAAGGTAACTGATGCATGGTTATGAACATTCTTTCAGTTAAAAAAATAGGGATCCAATTGCGAAATAATTTATTGAAAAAGATTCCAATATTCTCTAAACCTTAGAGAGAATGCAAGGAAAAAAAATTCACACTCAAGTTTGCTCAATACAAGTTAGATTAAACAATAACCTTAATGATTTTAGCATTTTGGAATTGGAGAGGAGGATTTAAAAGTTCAGCAAGTGGTGAGTTATTATTGTGGTATTAGATTCCTCGTTGCATGCTGCTTCAAAGTGTGATCCCAGGTTTGGAATTAGGTGTTTAGTGTAGGGGGGAAGATGCTTTGCATTGAATGTGTCGAATGAATTATGCGACTTTCACATTTTGATGTTAGGGCCTTCATACTCTATTTCCTAATAAACTACTCAAAAGATTGCTCCAAATTCTTAAAGCAACCAAGCTTCTTCCATTTCTACTTCCGTTGTATTTCATCTCTTTCACTTTTTGTTTGATATGTATTTATATCAAATTCAATAGTTGAGCTCACTCCTCTCGTCAAAATAAATTTGGTTTCACATAGGTAGTTGGGAGTAGTCTTTATGACTATGGAAGGTTCAACCTTCTGTAATTTTTATTTTCAATTTATGGAATGGAAGTTAAAAGTTTTCAGAAATATTATTATTATTATTATATTCCAAACTAATTCATAAATCAAAAAAAAAAAAAAATTAAATACGTCCTTAATAAAAAAAAAAAAAAAAAAAAAAAAAAAACGTCCTTACATGAAAATTGGTCTAAATAGATATGAAAATAGGTTTGATTCAATTTATCTTTTGTTCAATTTGATTCCTTGAAGGTGACATGTGAAAAATTGAACATATATGAACAAAATTGGTTGAATGGTCAAACAAAAAAAGATGATACCGGTTCATTATTTTTGAAAAAATAAAGCAAAAAATCTATATTCATGTTACATTAAGTACATCTCTTCTCCTTAGTCAAACTTTCATAGCAATCTACCCACATACCCCATAGTTATATCTTCAAGCTTTTTTGCATAACCAAACCACCTAATAATGTATAAAACAAATGCAAGTTATTTTGGAGTACATATCATCAAGTAAAATAATGTAAAGATATGAGATAACCATAAAAAACACCTAACCTAAAGCTCTAGCAACTGACATTAAGGGCAATAATATACCTTAAAAAGCAATCATTAAAAATTTGAAGTTCAAAAAAGTAATGTGCTCACAAAGAAGTCTTTTTTTACGAGCAATGATAGTTCCTTCAAAACAAACTAAAAGACATTTTTTCCGGCTTCCAAACATGAACAAAGTAGAAACATAGCATTGTAACTACAATTTTCAAAACAAGCTACATTTCAATTAAAATAATTAAGAAATGATAAATAAAAGGCCTCACCTCAGCATAATTTCCAGATGCATAGTGGAGGGTAGCATCACCAATTTTATTGCTAAGTTCTGGCGTGAGTTTATTTCGAGATCCTTTCTTCCGCCCTCTTTTCTTGGCCTAACCCACAACAACATAAGATAATTGTCGATACCAAAGGAAAATGAGCATATCAATATACGTAGCATAGCATAATTAATAGTTAGGCTAGAAAATTCAATAATTATAGACATAAAATAGAGATAGTCCATATATATGTGTGTGTTATATATGTGTGTGTGTGTATGTGTATGTGTGTGTGTGTGTCCATATTCTCTTATTATTTTCCATCTTAAATTTCAATCATGTTCTTCTTATTTTATCAATATTAATTAATAAGAATATCTATTAGATTTTAAAATAATGACTATGTTGATAGCAACAATTTCAATTACATCCTTAATAGTGTATTACATATGCAAGTAAGGAACGTTAGTAGGGTTATTTTAATTATAGGAAAACTCTTGACCTAATTGTGTACGCCTCACTAGAGATAAGGCAAGACGAGCCTTAGACGAGCTTGGCTCAATTAAGCCGTAATTCGAGGACTCATTAACACCTATAATTCCATTCCTAATAATGGCAAACAAGAAATTCAAAGGTGTTATATTGGAGTCTATCAACGAAATACTTCAACTTCAGTTGTTTGGGTGTTAAGAGCCAATTTTTTTAGTAAAAGTATTTATAAGTGTTTGGATCTTAGTTTCGGAAGTAGATCGCATTTCTCCTTGAAATGAGTTGGGATGATAATTGCATTAAACTTTTAATCTATAATTAATAATAATAATAATATTGTAAACTTTTAATCTATAATTAATAATAATAATAATAATATTCTTGTTATGTTGCCGCTGTTTTCAGCAAAGATAATATTCCTACCCAATTTTGAAATTAGTTTGATATAGCAAACTTGCCCTAACATAAAGCATATGATAACTTTAGGTAAATCTAAGAATATTCTTATTCAAAAGATGTAGTTAGCATGTAAATAGATACACATTTACAATAATCTAATATCTTATATTACATTATTTGATTATTAATGACATCCAATGTGTCAAAAAAAACATACATTATCAAATTATTTTCAAAATTATTAAACATAGATTTTAATGATTTAAAATCAAAATTCATCGCTAATGCTTATTGTGTTAAATACATATACATGTAAGATATAGTATAGAAATTTACAATGTGGAATTATATACATACCTTAAATAGTGCACATATTATTATAATTAATAATGTTAACTTATTTATAGAATTGCAATAACTATGTTAGGCTTTATTTCTACATAAGTACAATGCAAATAGCATAGAAGGCGAGAGAATTTCTAGTATCCAATTCCAAAGAAATTCAGACAAAAATAGTTTGAAGGCTATGGTTTGCTAAACACAATTTCCACAGATTAAAAAAAAAAATTCCAACTTAGTTACCCAACCAAACGCTTATAAGGTACTAATTTTCACCTTCAATCTTGATCAACATATCAGGTCATTTGAGTAACTTTCAATTCACAGGTTTCCTTCATTAGAGATACTACGTCATACTAGTAAAAGAACAACTATATTCAGTCATCTTCCAGCACTATAAAGCCATAAATCAACACAAGGGAAGATCATCCCCATGACTTTAACTTGCAAGGTTCTACAATTGCACAAACACATTGAATCCAAGATATGATACAATGAGTCATTAAATAATATCAAGTTCAACCACATTTAAAAGAAAATATTTTTTCCCCCACACATGCAAACACATGTACCCCACATATGCAAAGTCTTGAACCCAAGACCTCTTGGTAAAGATAAAGCTTTCAACTACTAGATCAAGATGACTTGCATCATTTAGAAGAATAGATATAATCGAAATGAGAGTAGCAAATGCACCACAAAAATGAAAGAATTTATAAAAGCAATAACTAAATCAAAATCATTCTTCATTCATAAATTATCAAAATAAAGCACCCTTTATATAGAAAATCAAATATGGTTGAAATGCAAATATAACATACAGCTCTTGCTTTTTTACGAAATCCAAAGTTCATCATCTCCTCAATTTCTTCCATGGTAACACCCAGAACCTCATCTTTCTTAGGTTTCTTTCCTAGCCCGTCACTGCAAGAATGCACACAATCATCAAAAACTTGAATTGACTAGATTTATAAGCCATTATTGTAGAATGTAGAGATAATTTGTAACCACTGTTGCGAGGCCTTGCGCTTCCTTTCGGCTCGGATTTCGCACTCGAGCCGCTCGAGATGTTGGTAGAGCTCGGTGCCTCCTTGGTCTCCCTCCTGGACAAAGCTGAGTGGGTCCCCTTCGAATTGCACCGTGAAATCTTCCTCGTCTTCGTCATCATCTACCTCTCCATCGGTGTCTTCCGCGTCCTCAAGTCCGCCCTTGCAGCCCACTTCCCTTTCCTCTTCTATCGCTCCTTCTACCCTTTCTATTTCCATGTCTTCCATAGGCAGGGTGGCAGAAGCATGCACCTTGACGGCGCTGGGGTCTGCTTGGTAGCCGGTTTTAAGCAGAATGTATGCAGGATTTAAGCAAAATTCTGCCAAACAGCAAAAAATGCCTCCGTAAATCCTGACCTCCCGTAATTCGCGATAAATCCGGTATTTACTATAAAACCTGTGAATCGACGGATTTAGTAAATTCGGGATGAGCCAAGAGGGAAAATGTCACGAACAGGCTTAGCTTCCTCAATAGTTTCTGGTAGGAGCGGAGAGGAAGGATGAGAAAAACGGGAGTATGTTATACCGAGCCGATCGTTTGTCAGGCCTCACGCAGGCCGCCTGCGGTGGAGACTGTGGTATCGCCCCCCATCGCTCATTCCGTCGTTGAGCCGGAGGGAACCGGCGCCGCCGCTCCAAGCCCTGGGGAGC